TTAAGAAGCCATGGTCCACCTAACACAGGCCTCAGTTCCAGTCTGGTGCTGCTGTGAGGAAATGTGGACCCAGTGTTGTCAGATCTCCTGGGCTTTGGTTTTTGTTGTTGCTATTGTTTAAAGAAAAGGTTTATCCTAAATTTTTCATGTGAACTGTTCCTATGTTTGAAACTGTGTAGGCATAAACGGAGCTTCCCTGGCGGCTCAGATGGTAAAGAATCCGCCTGCGATGCAGAAGACTGGGTTTGATCCCTGGGTCGGGAAGATCTCCTGGAGGAGGAAGTGGCAACTCGCTCCAGTATGCTTGCCTGGAGGATCCCAAGGACAGAGGAGTTTGGCAGACTATACTCCATGGGGTCACAAAGAATCAGACACGAGACTGAGCAACTAAGCATGCACGCATGTAGACATAAATGCACAGATTTGTTCGTCAAAAGACAGGTACAAGAATATCCGAAGGTGGGAATTCCCTGGTGGTTCAGTGGTTAGGATTTGGCGCTTTCACTGCCAGGACTGGGTTCAATCATTGGTCAGGGAACTAAGATATGGAAAGCCACATGGCACAGTGCCCCTCCCCCGCCCCCAAAAAATAATTTTCACAGGCATTATTTATAACAGCCCCATACTGGAAGCTACCCACATGCCGATCACTTGTGGCATAGTAAAAATAGTCTCTACACAACAAAGAGAAGTAATCAACTACACTTCACACATTATGGGTGAATCTTACAACATAATGTTGAGAGAAAAAATGCCAGTCCCAAAAGAGTTCAGAAATAGGTAAAACTAAGATATGATGTTAGAGACGTAGATAGTGGTTACGCTGTCTGGGAGAAGTGCTGGTGGGTTGTTTTTTACTTTTTCCCGCCTTGATCTGAAAGCTGATTTCATGGGTATGTTCAATTTATCAAACTGTACAGTGATTTGTGCACTTTCCTGTATGCATTTATATGTCAATAAAAAGTTAAAACAACTGCAACTAAGACCCAATGCAGCCAAATAAATGAACTTTTTTTTCAAAAAAGTTAAAAATGTGGGCCAAAGTAAATCTCAAGGCTGATTCAGAGCTGTGGGCTTCCAGTTTGCTCTACAACACATATGTTTCTTTAGAGAAAACAACTGAGAAGTTTTGGGGTTTTTTTTAAAAACATACTTTGAAATGCAGGTAACACCCCCTTTTACAGAAGCTCCTACATTAAAGTCCAACGAGGAACCCATCTTTCCTTCTGGATCACTACCCAGCCTCAGATTTATCTTTATATGTGATCCAATGCTAATGTCCACTTGTTCTCAAACTAGAAAAATCAACCCACGTATACCATATCATAAACCACAGTTACTAGTAAAGGCACATAGAAGCAGGAGAACCCAGAGGCAATTTCAAAGGACGGTTACGGCCTACTTTAGGATGAGAGGGCTTCAGGAGTCTTCAGGTTGGGAGGCTCATAGACACAACAGAAATTTCAGGTAGTTATGAAGATGTAGTAGGAACCATACTGGGCTGCAATAATTTATCCAGCAAACAGGCATGTCTTAGCCTGAGCCATGGACCATAGGTAGAGAATTGATCAGGTGTGTGATAGATTTTAGAATCTATGTTCTGAGGCACTTCAAGTACAAGCATATCCCAAAGATGCCTCAATTCAGGAAATGACTAGAGTTAAGAAGGCTGTTCTAGAGTGAAGACTGAAATCTCTGGATGTACAGTGAGGTTTGGGTCTTGGGGTCTCCTTAGAAGGAAATGATTGTCTTGAGTTGAGCTGTTGATAAGAAAGTTGTTGCTAAGAAAGGTAGAGTTACTAACAGGGCAGGATTTGGGAACTAAGTCACACTGGTTTCTCCAAAGCAAGGAGGATGGTGGAATGTGGTGAGGATGCTCAAGGAAAGTAGAACCTTCTAGAGGGAGCGAGATTGCCAGCTTGGGACTAAAAAAGGTGTTTCAGATTGGCAAGGAAACCTAGAAATGACTCAACTAAGGCTATCTAAGAAGAGAATACCAGGGGCAGAGAGTGCCAGTCTGGCAGAACAGATCCTTTGTTTAGTACATCAGCCTTGCTTATTACTGTAGTATGTTACAGACTACACAAGAATTTCCCAGGGAGGAGGTATCCAAGGTGTGAGGGGTCTGTGATCAATTGTACTACATAAGTTGACTGAAAAGGGAGGGGCTAGCTAACCTAGAGTCTGATTTGTCTCAGAAAGGACTATTTCCTCAGGAGTATTACCCAAGTGAATCACAGCTCATGCCTATTTTGAGAATTCAACCTTTTGTCCTTTCTGCCTCCTTGAGAGTTGTGGGCCAGTTATAACTCAATGAACTAGGAGTTCCATGTTTCATGCTTGATTTCACTATCTTTATCATCAAAAGTTACCAGTACTTCCCACCATGAAGACTTACCTTTAACGCCTTTCATGAAATGGGTTAAAATCCCACCACTAAACAGTCAATCCACCTGAATAGAATGTTAAATTTGAGGGTATCTGGATTAATTCTGGTCTTCCTTCCCAAACATGCACAGAAGCATAAAAGGAACTCCACATGAAGCAGCTTGAAATCTTAAATATTCAAGTCTATTGTTCCTTTTTAACTTCGAATGGCAGGGCGCTTTGTTTCAATTGGGGAAGGGGCCAGGGACAGAGCCTGGCAATTGAAAAGGGAAGGAGAACGGCACGCGCCAGACAGGGGCGTGGCCAAGGCAAGACAGCCGAAGAGTTGCTCCTGAGGCCTTTGTGAAAACCACACGGTAAGAACGTTTGGGGCATTTACTTTCTACCAGCTAAAAGTCCAGTCCTATACTGGACTCATCTGCTGGAAACTCGGAGAAGCTGATGCATGACTGGGCTTTCTCCAGTGGCGTGCCCTCAGGAGAGACTGTCTGAGCTGCTGACTCTGCCTAGCTCTGGAGGCAGAAGCAACAAGACAGAGGATTTTTTCCCCTTTCTTGTATACCTAAGTCCAACAACTTGAAAATGGAATGCAAAAAAGTAGCCAAAAATGATCTGTCCTAAATCAGGTTAGGTATACATCTTCTCCAGAAAGTACTCCCATTATTTACTGATCCCTGCCTCCAAGCTGGGTTAGATGCTTGACCCTTTGTTCTCTCTTCTCCTAGCCAAGAGCACTTATCCCATCGGATGATTAGTTTCAGTATCTCCCTAGAGAAAGGCTTAACCATTTTGTACCTTTGGTAGCCTTCTGAAATCTATGGACTAGCTCTCGGAACAATATTTATCAGTGCATGAAATAAAATACATAGGGTTACAAAGGAAACCAATTATATTGAAATATAGTTCTTAACTCCAGACAGTCTCTGGAGAATGAGTCCCTTGAGTGCATGGACTGAGTGAGCCTTCATCTCTGTACTGGGAGTGCCTAGCACAAAGCCTGGCACATAGGTGACACTTACAAACATTTACTTAGTGAATGAACAGAAAGATGGATGGCTACTGAGAGCTCAGCCTGAGGAATGAGTCACTGCAACCGCTTGTGCACATACCAGTGGCTTGCATGTGTCTCACGCCATCTGAGATCATTTAGACCAGGGCTATGAGGAAACCCACACTCTACAACGGGTACATAGCATTGAGCGATAATGACAGGCTACTGGAAGACCAGGAAGACAACAAAGCTCATGTATTTCCACCAGGTGGAATATTCAGAGTGAAAGTAAACAGGCTCTGTCTTTAGGAGGTGATCTCTTGACTTAGGAAGCATGATGCTCACACTACTTTAAAACAGTACCAACATCTCTGAAACAAGAAAGAAAGGAACCTGAGCTAGCCCGTAGGTGTTCTCTAGGGCTCCTCCTCTGTCCAGAGTTAAGCCTGTTGTCTCTGGGAAAGAGAAAAGTATTCTTAAAAGCCACAATAGGGATGACATGTGCCTTTCTAGGTTCAAGTAGTAGTTTTAGACTTAGGCAGAAATTTTGTTTTTATATACCAACAGAAAATCTAGAGAAGCAAGAAATAAAAGTCATTTCCCTCACTAAAGATATATTAAGGGCCAAAGCTTTGTTCTAAATTGATTGCTATGTCTAATGACTATTCTGAAAAGAAAAACAAAACCCTGGACAATCTTAAAGCTGAAAACCACAACTGCATGGGATTCAGAAATTTCACCTTTAAGCCTTTTAAGATTAACCCTTCCAAGTTAGAAGGCTTCCCTAGCTATGCATAGCTATCGGAGGGATGGCAGAACGCAGTTTTCACTTGCTTAACAATAGGGTTTCCAACATCCGTTGGAGGAAACATGGCTTCAGGTGGGTGCCTTCAAAAAAAAAAAAGAAGGATACTATAGGTCAAAGTTTTGTTTTTAATTAAAAAAAAAGACCTCCCACTCCTAAGTTGTGTGCTTTCTTTTTTGACCTACTTTTCCTTTAAATGGTCTGCAGTTTCCCTATATTTTTCCTAGTGCAGTAAACAATGCAATCTTTAGAAATAAAAACCAGGGTCCACTCTTGCCCCAAACACTGAAGATGGTCAAAGAGAAAGAATCACAGCACAGAAAATGGGCCCAGCTCCAAATATACAAAAACATTTAAAAAAGAACAAAACAAAATACCCCCTCCCCACCCAAAGACATAATGACTACATTCCTGGTACACTTCCTATAATATAGTGCTGCAGACAACGCTTCTTTCCCAGGGAGTCCAGCTCGCTCAGGAGGAGACAACTATTTGATAGACTGGGGTGCTGAGTCCTCCCTGCCAAACCTAAGGGTCTTTTATGAGCTCAATATCTCACAGAAACATCTGTGGTATAAATGGTATAAATGAATCTAAAAGGGGATGAAGGCAGGCAGCCACCTGTCACTGTTCTCTGAATCAGCCAAAAAGCTGAAGAGCGTGGGATCCAGGAGACAGATGCCATTAACCATTGAGGGATAGAGGGGAAAACAAGAGGAAGCACCAAAGAAGTGGCTGCTTTTGGTTCCAAAGTCAAGAAAGGGCCCCGCAAAAAAGGGCAGTTGGTCTGGAAGAGGAACTCTCCTGCTCCTGGAGTCATGCAATAAAAATGATGGCCTTGGAGCCCCACCCCGCGAACAGCCACAGTCTAAGGACCAGAGCGATTTTATACCACATCACACAGTTTGCAAATGAATGGACTAGGAGGGTAAGTGCTTTGACAGAGCAGGCTGCAAGGTAGGCCTGAGCCCCAAAGCACAGCTGTGACATCTCTGGATTCTTATCTCTGCCAAGCTGCAGGTCCCTGACGCCACCTACTTGGTGAAAATGTACCCTTCCGCTTAACACTGGCATTGCCTCAAAATGGCACCCATGGTGGTAACCCTCAGAGATAACAAGAGGCATCAGTTGCACTTCTGGAAGTAAGATAATTTCCTTGCCCCATCTTGGCCAAAGCACTTCCCTTTTTAAGCTTCTGCTAGTCTGTTACCTCCCCCTCGAAGCAGAGTTCAACTCACTTTTGTTTGGGGGTTTTGCACTGGCCTCTGAGGGCTTGTTCCAGGATACAAAATTAAGTATACTTTCACATCCGTGTGTGAGTGGGTTGCCTTCCAGGGTCAGATCTGTGTTCCCTGGTTTGGTCAATGCACCTTCATGAGACTAAAACCACGTGTGTACACAGAGAGACTAGCCTGGAAAGTGACTTCTGGATAGGGTTTCGGGTTATCTTGATGCCTCCCCTCAAAGAAATAACTCTCTTGATGTAAGATGGTTAGGACATTGAATGACCTACTCTCAACTTCCAGAAGGGCACCTTGTTTTGTCCATTTTTCAGTGAGGGGCTGGAAGGGACCCGATATGTTCAGTTACAACAATCAGATCTTGTTTCTTAAAAAAAAGGATCCTATGTGGAAATGAGTGGGACAATGATAAAAATAAACAAATAATTAAAATTCCAAACCAAAACGTATCTCCTGGCCCCGAGACCCCCAGTTAATCCTCTAAGACCACGATCTCCACATTGTGGACTTGATGCTGGTGTTCCTCCATCTCAGCCACGACTTTCTCCTCAGTCCTCAGTTCGGTCTCCAAAATGACTGCTTTGCCCTCAGCATCCTCAGCCTCTGGGTCTGGGGCTGGGTCAATCTCAATGATGGTCTGCCCATCCTCTGAGGTGCTTTCAACCGCCTGGATGGCTGAGGTTAGGCCAGACTCCATGGCCACCAGCTCCACAGGGCTCACCATGGTGGTCATGTTGCCCAGGGTACTGCCATCCTGCATGGCGGTGGAGCTTAGCAGCGCCAAGCTAGACGAAGGGTGGATGGTCACTGTGTCTGGTGAGCTGCTCTTGGCTGAGGAGACCACTGTGGCATAACGGAAGAGCTGAGGGCCAGAAGGCAGTGTGTGGACAGTCACAGGACTGGAGCCCTGGCTGAGGGTGGCCACTGGAATATTGCCCATGGAAAATGACTGACCCACTGGCGTGATGGTGATGGGTGAGATGACTGTGAACTGAGGCTGATGGACAGGAGGAGAAGGGCTCAGGACGGTGGTGGAGGCTGGCCGCTGGAGCCGGGGCCTTTTGGGAGGCTTAGGAGTGCTCACAGGCATCAGTACCACATTTTGAACTGTCTGGGATTTCAGCCTGTGATCCTGGGCTTGCTTCTTCTGTTCTTCCAACTGGCGTTCCAAGTCTATGGAAAAAAGACAGACTTTGGGTAGAGAGAAGCATAATCCTGGGAACAGTAAACTAGCAGTGAGGAGACCTGGGGTCTTGTCCTGGTTTTGCTAGCGTATTTAGCCTCAGGAAAGTCATGTCATCGTTTTCAAGAAGGAACTAGACTGGATGATCTTTACAACTTCACCAGTTATTGTATTTCATTGTGTGATTATAGGCAAGGTGATAATTCAGAATCTTGCCATATTGCAATCCTGCTATAGCTCAACTCTAGAAGCTCCTGTGGCATTTTGTCACCTGTCACTAAAATGTAAACCGAAGAAGTCTCCATTGGTCTAGCAGCTTATATATGCCCTGCCTACAGATGAAAATAATATCTGTACAATCCCTTTGCAGTTGCAATGGACCTACAAAGGAGCTACAATGGCCACTCTGAAAAACAGTGATTTCCAAACTGTCCTTCAAGGCAGGATCACTTGCTGGTGACCCAGATGGCTTTAATCTACCATTAGCTCCAGAGAAATCTACAGAAAGTTACAGAGGAAGTCCCTAAGAATTACAAAACTGAAGGAGGTCTTAGAGTTCTAACACATTCATTTGATAGAGATCCAGAGAAGTAAAGCTATTTATTTAAGATCACAGAGCTTGGGCCAAAACAAAAGTCTTCTGATAGTCAATTTGGTGGCTTTCCCACCCCAATACACCTATCACTATCCCTCTCCCAAGGGTCTAATCCAACCTTGATGACTACTGGTGAGTCTGGTTCTACACCAGAACTTCTCTGCTGCTTAGCACCTGATAACATCCAATAAATAACCAGTTACACCTCAAGAGCACTATTCTTCCTGTGCAACACCAAAAGTAAGTCAATTCCTTGCTTGGAATAAGAGTGTGTATGTGCATGCATGCTAAGTCGCTAAGTCATAGGGATAAAGAACATAGTCAAAAATTTTACAATGCTGCCTTTTTGAGGTTATAAGATACTACATTTTTTTTTCCATCTTTGGTGGTAATCAAAGAAACGTGAACCTAAACAAGATATCAATTAAACCTATAGTTTTAAAAAAGTTAAACCAGAGTGTATTATAAAAAACAACACCCAAAGTTGGGAGCTCAAACTTGTGACCTAAATTGGTATAATCTACTCGGAAATTTGACAATAGGTCACAAAACTCCATAAACAAATATCAGTACCATTTAGCCTCAAGCTTAGTCCTGTGAAGTAGTTTATTTCTTTATTTTTTGGGGGCCTCACGGTTTACAGGATCTCAGTTCCCCAACCAGGGATTGAACCTGGGTCACAGCATTGAAAGCCTAGAATCCTAACCACTAGGCCACCAGAGAACTTCCATGAAGTAGTTTAAAAGGACATAAGAAGAAATGTTATACTCATACAAGTTCACTGCAATAAATAAGCCTTTGAAGAAACTTTTGAAAATTTAAATTCATCCCTAGAAAAATGTCTAGGTAAAATACTATGTAGCAACTTGAAAAAATATTAGTGTATCATAGTGAAAAAAGCAGAAAATACAACTTTATGTATACTGTGGTTATAACTAAAATATATGGGCAAGAAACCAGAAGCCTACATTTCTAACAAAAGCCATTTTTCAGACTGTTCTACCAGTCTGAAAGAAGACAGTTCTACCCTGGGCTTCACTATCAAGAAGGAATATGATCCCAGCAAATCATTTATTCTCTCTGTGCCTTTACTGGGCTATCTGTAAAATCAGGATAACAGCCTATAATATTCCTAGGAAGATGAAATGAAAAAGGGGATCTCTGAGAATACTTGGTAAACTGAATTTAAAATATAAACTGGGCATAAAAATAAGTTTAAAACAACCTAAATTGTTCTTCTCTTAACAAATGATCTTTCTTGCCTTTTGTCTTCCCACTGACTATATTCTACATCATCTAAGATTGATCATCTATACCTCTAACTTGCTTTGTTCCTTACTTCCTCTGAAAGCTTCTCAAGATTTTTCTCTGGATATAAATGATAATTCCCCTTGTTCTACCACCATACCTTCCATATGCTTCTGTTAGAGAACTACTGTTTGGACGTATTTCTAAGTCTGCTTTCCGCTGAGTTCCTTGAAAGCCCTCAAGAGACTGAGATTACCTTATTCAACATTATATTCCTAAAATCTAGCTTGGAGACCAGCACAAAGCATTGGGTTGGCCAAAAAATTTGTTCAGGTTTTTCCATAAGATCATACAGAAAAACCCAAATGAACTTTTTGACCAACCCAATACTTATTAAAAAGGGTTAAGTTATACATATGCTCATAATTTCTGATTACCAAAAATAAGGGAAGTGCAAAATGTGTATCTATCAACCAACTCAGTATTAATAATGTAAAACAGACAAAGGTCAGCTTTATTCTCCTGCCACTTATATTACTGGGCTAATGAACAATCTAGCAGACATCTTAATCCTTCAAAGATATAAAAAGAGGATCATATTGCTAGTTTTCCTTTCTTTCTTTTTGTGCTTCCTCTGCCTGAGGTGACTCCACCTCACGGGGGACTGTGTACACAGGAAAAGCCAAATCTGATACAATGTGAATTGAAAGAAAGAGAGACAGAGAAGGAAGAAAACAGAAAGAGCAGGAGCAAAGGAGGAAGGGAGGAAAAGAAGAATGGAAGTAAAGGAGGAAGGAAGAAGCCAGTCCAGTCCCAACAGAAGATAACAAAGAAATGGCAAGACTCAAGGATGTCAGTATATCACCAAAGAAAAGAGGGAAGCTATACATACCTGTGAGAGTATAGAGAAACTGCTCTTCTCCCTGTTCTACTTGGCTCTTCCTATTGTCCAAAACCTTCTTGACTGTGTCCATTAGGCCAAATGTATGTGCTACATTATTAAGAACAGCAGCATCTATTTAAAACAAAATATGTCTGTCCAGTTACAACAGAAACGTTCCACAAACTCCCTACTATGCTGCTGATAAATATCAAACAATTCAGAAATTAGAATACTAATTGCATTTTCAAAAAAGTTTAACAAAGATTTATCACGGGACATCCCTGGTGGTCCTGTGGCTGGGAACTCTGCACTCCCATTGCAGGGGGGCCTGGGTTTGATCCTTGCCCCAGATGCCTCAACTAAGACCTGGTGCAGCCAAAGAAATCAATAAAAATAAACAAATATTAAGTAAAAAAGATTTATCACATGTGTAACTAATGTTTATGTAATTGTTATATCTTTATACATCTCTCCATATAAATAAATACAAAAATAAGGAAAAAATCTTGCATCTGGTTATAGGTTCTGACTTGGTTTACGAAAATGTGGTCATTCTGGACTTTCCTGGCAGTCCAGTGGTTAAGACTCTGCCTTCCAATGCAGAGGGCACAGGTTTGATCCCTGGCCAGGGAACTAAGATCCCACATGCTGTGTGGTATGGCTAAAAAAAGACAGAGCTAAATTTGAATCTTGGTTTTGATGTTTCCTATCTGTGTGACCTGGGTAAGTCATTTCACTCCTCAGTTTTTTTCATCTGAAACAAATGGGACTAATAATACTTACTCAGCAAGATAGATATGAAGATTAGAAATATATGCTAAATGCCAAACATGGGCATTTATTATTATTAATAGTATTATCTCTATTCCCCTTTAAACAATGCTTCTTCAAAGAGCTGTTACTAACTGAGCTGTTATTAACTCAGACCACTTCTCTACCTACAGCTCTCTTCCACAGTCATCTCATCCAGTTTCATCAGTTTAGTTCAATTCAGTCGCTCAGTTTTGTCTGACTCTTTGCAACCCCATGGACAGCAGCACACCAGGCTTCCCTGTCCATCACCAACTCCCAGAGCTTGCTCAGACTCATATCCATTGAGTCGGTGATGCCATCCAACCATCTCATCCTCTGTCGTCCCCTTCTCCTCCTGTCTTCAATCTTTCCCAACATCAGGGTCTTTTCCAGTGAGTCAGTTCTTCACATCAGGTGGCCAAAGTATTGGAGCTTCAGCATCAGTCCTTCCAATGAATATTCAGGACTGATTTCCTTTAGGATGGACTGGTTTGATCTCCTTGCGGTCCAAGGGGCTCTCAAGAGTCTTCTCCAACACCACAGTTCAAAAGCATCAATTCTTTAGCACTCAGCTTTCTTTATGGTCCAAACTCACATCCATACGTGACCACTGGAGAAACCACAGCTTTGACTAGATGGAACTCTGCTGGCACAGTAACGTCTCTGCTTTTTTGTGTGTGTGTGTGAAAAAGAAATAGTTTTTTTTTTTTTTCCATTTATTTTTATTAGTTGGAGGCTAATTACTTTACAACATTGCAGTGGTTTTTGTCATACATTGAAATGAATTAGCCATGGATTTACATGTATTCCCCATCCCGGTCCCCCCTCCCACCTCCCTCTCCACCCAATCCCTCTGGGTCTTCCCAGTGCAACAGGCCCGAGCACTTGTCTCATGCATCCAACCTGGGCTGGTGATCTGTTTCACCCTAGATATACATGTTTCAATGCTGTTCTCTTGAAACATCCCACCCTCGCCTTCTCCCACAGAGTCCACAAGTCTGTTCTATACATCTGAGTCTCTTTTTCTTTTTTTGCATATAGGGTTATCGTTACCATCTTTCTAAATTCCATATATATGTGTTAGTATACTGTAATGGTCTTTATCTTTCTGGCTTACTTCGCTCTGTATAATGGGCTCCAGTTTCATCCACGTCTCTGCTTTTTAATAGGATGTGTAGGTTGGTCACAGCTTTTCTTCCAAGGAGCAAGTGTCTTTTAATTTCATGGCTGCAGTCAGCATCTGCAGTGATTTTGGAGCCCAAGAAAAGAAAGTCTGTCACTGCTTCCATTGTTTCCCCATCTATTTGCCATGAAGTGATGGAAAGGGATGCCATGAGCTTAGTACTTTGAATATTGAGTTTTAAGCCAGCTTTTTCACTCACCTCTTTCGTTTTCATTAAGAGGCTCTTTAGTTCCTCTTCACTTTCTGCCATAAGGGTGGTGTCATCTGCATATCTGCGGTTGTTGATTATTTCTCCCGGCAATCTTGATTCCAGCTTATGCTTCATCAGGCTGGCATTTTGCATGATGTATTCTGCATGTAAGTTAATAAGCAGGGTGACAATATACAGCCTTGATGTATTCCTTTCCCGATTTGGAACCTGTCTGTTGTTCCATGTCCAATTCTAACTGTTGTTTTTTGACCTGCATACAGGTTTCTCAGGAGGCAGGTCAGGTGGTCTGGTATTTTCATCTCTTGAAGAATTTTCGACAGTTTGTTGTGATCCACACAGTCAAAGGCTTTAGCATAGTCAATGAAGCAGAAGTAGATGTTTTTCTGGAATTCTCTTGCTTTTTCTATGATTCAACAGGTGTTGGCAGTTTGATCTCTGGTTTTAAATCCAGCTTGAGTTTCTGGAAGTTCTCAGTTCACATACTGTTGAAGCCTAGCTTGGAGAATTATGAGCATTACTTTGCTAGCGTGTGAGATGAGTGCAATTGTGAGGTAGTTTGAACATTCTTTGGCATTGCCTTTCTTTGGGATTAGAATGAAAACTGACCTTTTCCAGTCCTGTGGCCACTGCTGAGTTTTCCAAATTTGCTGGCATATTGTGTCCCATTTCATAGTTTTAAGTATCACAGACATGCTAAGAACTCCCACATGTAGATCTCCAGTCCAGACCTCTTTCCTACATTACAGATTCATACTTCTGTTTAGTCAAGTGACATCTCCGTTTGAAGGCCTCATAAGCATCTCAATTTAAAAGTCAAAAGTCAATTTTGATTTCCTACCCCAGCAGTCTTCATCTCAAGAAATTTTGCCACCACTCACAGTTCAGATCAAAAATATATGAGTCATCCTGGATTTCTTTTTCGCCCGACATCTAATCCACCAGCAAGACCTGTCAGTTCCACGTTCAAAACACATCCCCAGTACGACCATTTCTTCCCAAGTCTACCACTGCCCATTTAATACACTACCACCATCTCTTGCCTGAACTAACTCCTTCAAGAGTCTTCCAACTAGTCTTCTTTTTTAAACTATTTATTTGGCTGCGCTGGGTCTCAGTTGCAGTATGCAGGATCTTCAGTTGCAGCATTCAAACTCTTAGTTGCAGCATGTGGGATCTAGTTTCCTGACCAAGGATCGAACCTAGGCCCCCTGCATTAGGAGATCACAGTCTTAGTCACTGGACCACCTGGGAAGTCCTCCAATTGGTCTTCTTGTTTCTACTCTTGCCCCATATAATCTATTCTCCCCACAGCAACCACAGTGATCTTTTAAAAATAAAATAAACCTGATCATTTTACTTTCCTACTCAAAATCACTATGATGGCTTAACATCACCTTAAAATAAAACCCAAAGTTTTATCTTTGGGTTTTATCTGACCAAAACTTATCTAAAATAAGCTATGTCTCAAATAAGCTCTTTCCTCTGCTTCTGTCCAACTTCATCACCTATCACTCTTTCCATTAACTTAGTCCACTGAAGCCATGTCAGCACTCCTCTAATTCTTTGAACCCACTAGGTTCATTGTCACTTCAAGATCTTTGTACCCTCTGCTTGGAGTATTCCTTCTCCCAGCCTGTCACATGGCGAGCGCCTTCAATTCAGATTTCTACTCAAATGCCACCTGCTTAGAGGGGGCTTCTTTGACCACCCTGTCTAAAAGAATCACCTGTTTTTTATATTAGCTGCCTTTAAAAAAAAAAAAACCTCCAATCATTAAAAAAAAAAAAGATTCTGCTATAAAGTTTAAGTGTACTTACATAATGTAAATACCAGGGGCTTCCCTGGCAGCTTAAATGGTAAAGAATCTGACTGCAATGCAGGAAACCCCGGTTTGATCCCTGGGTTAGGAAGATTCCCCTGGAGAAGGGAATAGCAACCCATTCCAGTATTCTTGCCTGGAGAATTCCATGGACAGAGGAGCCTGGAGGGCTACAGTCCATGGGGTCACAAAGAGTCGGACACGACTGAGCAACTAACACTTCCTTACTTCCTTACACACAATGTATGAGTCATAAGAAGGTAACAACACACGCCTAACAAATCTAAGTAAGGCCTTACTCAACGTACAAGCTCGGAGACCTCATCACGAGCCCTTTGGATCAGATGATTAAAGCATTCGTTTACATTGTGCATGACAGCAAGTACCCTGTAAGTATGCAGAAACACTTAAAAGTGTACACAATAGATCTGGGAGCCTTAAACTAACAGAATATGAGAACTGTCTAAAACAGGCAGATTTCTTCAATTTTCAGACTCTATATATCTATTTATATCTATATCGAGAGAGAGAGAGAGAGATTGCTTTCTGACACCATTTACAAAGGTAAAAATTACCTGTGGAAAAAGCAATGACAAACCTGAGTTTAAAACCAAGGTATGCTAAAAACAGAACTACCACATATGATCCAGCAATCCCACTCTTGGGCATATATCCAGAAAAGATGAAAACTCCAGTTTAAAAAGATATATGCACTCCAATGTTTATAGCAGCAATTTACGATTTATAGTAATCAAGACATGGAAGCAACCTAAGTGTCCATTGGCAGATGAATGGATAAAGAAGATGTGGTATATATATTCAATGAACTATAACTTAGTCATAAGAAAAGAAGAAAATATTGCCATTTGCAGCAACATGGATGGACCTAGAGAATATCATACTAAGTGAAGCTCATCAAAGACAAATATTATATAATATTACTTATATGTAGAGCCTAACAAAATAATACAAATGAGTTTATTTACAAGACAGAAACAAACTCACACACATAGAAAACATGTTTACAGTTACCATTTCCCCCATGGGAAGTGGGGGAGGGATAAAGTAAGAGTATGGGATTAACAGATACACACTACTACATATAAAATACATAAGCGATAATGATCTACTGTATAGCACAGGGAACTATATTCAGTATCTTCCAATAACTTATAATGGAAAATAAATATATATAAATACACACACACAAAACTGAATCATTTTGCTGTACACCTAAAACTAACACAATATTATAAATCAACTACATCTCAATTAAAAAAAAACAATATTTTACAGCTAAAAAAAAAACTAGTTATGAACTTTGTTTAGTAACTTAATGTTTTATGACCCTTAATTTCCTAAACTGTAAAATGAGGATAATAATACTCGTACCTCAGTGTTTCATGAGGCTAACAAGGTCTGCCTACAATTGTTACTGTTTAATAAATGACCACTATTGTTAGGATTAGTGTGTTTACCTGTGACCTGGAAGGGAGCCTGGATGAGCCGCTGCTGAACTCCCCTAAGTAGCTCCTCTATTTCCTTCTGTATGTTGCAGACAACCTCTTCCATCAGTCCTACATCAGCTATTCCTTTCCAGAACATCAAAGTGTCCTCTGGTAAAAAGGATAAGACAGAAGGTAAGCTTCCCAGGTGGCTCAGTGGTAAAGAATCTGCCTGCAATGCAGGAGACATGGGTTTGATCCCTGGGTCTGGAAGATCCCCTGGAGGAGGAAGTGGCAACCCACTCAGTGTTCTTGCCTGGAAAACTCCATGGACAGAGGAGTCTGGTGGGTTATAGTTCATGGGGTTACAAAGAGTTGGACACAACTGAGCATACAAATAAGGGATGCTACATATGCTTAGGTACAGCTCTACAATGTTAAGTTCAAAAAAAATTTTTTTCCATGCTATGTGCCTTTGTGGGATCAGTTCCCTGAGCAGGAATTGAACCCAGGCCCTTGCAGTGAAAGTCCAGAATACTAACCACTAGGCCACCAGAGGATTCCAATGATTTCTTATTCGAGCATTTCTGGAAGAAGAAAAGAAGCTTTTGGAACACCAGCTGCCTCCTTGAGTTGGTACATAGTTATTTGGACTCCAGGTAACTGTGATAATTACCTCACTGGGTAATTATCTGGCTACAGGGAATGGGTATCTTTCTTCAATAAAAGTATTAAATTAAATATTAAATAAATACTAAAACATTTACTTAAATAATTTAAAAGATAATAATACTGGAGTGGGTAGCCATTCCCATCTCCTGGGTTGGGAAGATTCCCTGGAGTAGGAAACAGCAACCCACTCCAGTATTCTTGCCTGGAGAATTCTACAAGAGAGGAGCCTGGCGGGCTACAGTGCATGGGGTTGCAGAGAGTCAGATGAGACTGAGTGACTAACACTTGCACTTTTCACTTTCAATATATAATATTTTAAAAGTTAAATAAATATATAAATTAAAGATATATGCCCTCTAATCCTGTACTTAAAACACCAAAATAAAATAGTTGAATAGGTGGGGGGGTATAAGCTCCCTGAGGGCAGAGGCTATGTCTTTTCATCTTTCTATCTATATTGAGCAAGAGTGCCAGCTAAAAACAGGCAGCAATAAACATTTGTTAAATGAATTAATGAACGACAATATAAAGCTTCTCCTGTCCCCTTTGAGTGAATCACCATTAATCATCATCTACACCACCTGCTAGCTAATTTTTTCTTCTAAAATCTGGCAGTTTGGTCTACCTGACGAATGTGCCAAAGGTGGAATCAGTGTGGCGGCATTAGAAGATGGACTCCAGAGTTAAACAGCTGAGTCCAGCTCTGACACCAGCTGTGTGACTGGTCTTGGGCAACATACTAAACATTTCTGAATCTCAATTTCTTCATAGAATCTAACGTTGCAAGGCTGTTACATGGATTCAAATAAGATGTTTGCAGCTATAATTAGTACTAATATGCATAAGAAAAACCAGCACAAGTAATGAAAAGCCCTTGTGTCCATAATCATAATGGTGATAAGAGTTACAAAACCTTGCAAGAAATCTGGGCGCCACAGATAGTACCTGAAATTTCCTCTGAGTCTTTCTTCATGCCCTCCTCTGTGGCCATGGTGACAGCGGCAGTGAGAGCTGAGTTCCATTCCAGCCCTGCCTCTTCCATGCTCTCTTCTGAGATGGCAATCTGTGTGATGCTACCTAAGAGCAGTGCATTAAAGGGAAGGCCAGTGAATTTTATGAAAAAAGTCACAGCTATCCTCTTTCTCAGACAGTCAAAGAGATCCTGTTATTTAAATTATGGACTTTTGCCTGAAGGTCCCTATATTAAAATCTAGAATCCTAGGTAAGCCAGGATGAATACTGGCTTTCCTAAAGAAAACCCACCTTGCAGAAAATGCTTTCTTCTTACTCTGAATAGAAAGTGAAAGATGACTTACAAAACCATAAAAGAGCAATCTGAGCAGTTATATTTTTGAAAGAGACAGAAGGTGGGCATAATTGCCAGGCTGTACCCAGACTTAGTGAGGATGAGGAGGACTTGAAATAATTGAAAAAGAAATATGGTGCTTAGTCAAGAGCCCTATTCCAAGTGTATTTGATACTAACCATCTAGAATATGTGGAGTTGCTATAACTTACTTATCAGCTGATGTAAGAGAAAGCAAGATAAATGAGACCAAAAAAAAAAATCAGATAAGAGATCCACGAGTAGCAGATTCACAGAGGAAAAACCTATTGCTATCAATTTAATATTAAGGTTTTAAACAAAGAGAATTGAGAAAAATCAACTGATCCAGACAGAAATATAAAATGTGGACTCTCCACTCTGAAGGATATCAGTAAACAAGCAAAATATCAACATGGATGATCAAGTAAAGAAGGTTCAGCAAAATAAAAAGAAAGTAGATAATTTCACAGCATTTTTCACTTCTCAAGTCAAAGTGTCACACCACCAAATATTCACATTGTTATATATTTTATACTTTTCTGAAAGAAACTCAGTGAGATCTGGCTTCTACTCACCCAGCAGTTAGGTTGAGAACAGAATATTAGGGTTGAGCAAAAGAAGCCTTGAGAAGTCATTTTTAAAGCATAGTACCTTCCTTACATTGCATTCTGTGTCTCTGTCAGGCATATTTTTAAGCCTCCTGGAAGCAGTTTAGACACATTCTAAGAATTTAGCTGCGCTAAGTTTCCAGCTCAACTAAGTCCTTAATAATAACCTCACATGGCTATATCTTTCCTAGAGAGCCCTCATTCCAAACTCAATAATACTGAAGTTAAGTGTGTGCATACCCTATCTCATTTGTGAAGATGTCTCAGCTTGTTTATCTGGATTCCTCCCAGACAGAGCTCTTTGACCCTTACGGAGGAGTCTCCAGAGTCCAGCCCCATCAATGACACACTGTCTTTGAGACATCTCAGTTCAAAAGCTGAAAACCACACACCTTCTAAATCCACCCGCCTGCCGTGACCATCAGAATTGCCAAGGACTTTCAAAACAATCTAATTTCAAAGATATATCAAGTGGCACTGGCACCAAAGTAATACCATTAAATAAGCATTACATGAACCACCTTTCTAACGTTTACCGTGCATTGTAATACGGAAATAAGGAAGGAGGACTGGCCAATTAGGAATCATTCAGGAGAAAACAGAGTTCTTTCTAAAGCGTGGACTCCTACCCAAGATTACCATATCTTACATCAACACTCATGAGAATTAAAATTAAGAAACACAAAAGAGAATGAGGGGAAAAGTACTACTGAAAAACACAATGGGTTTTCAGGTGGTTTCCTACCCCCTACCATCGGCCGAAGTGGGTGTCTGCACCACACTTGTCTGCTGTCCTGGCACTGGCGCTCTTGCACTGCTGATTAGCAGATCAAATTTGGTGCTTCTGCAAGTATTGGAGCAAACCTTGTCATGTTGGTAAAAATCAATCTGTCCGGAGTCCATCATCTTCCTGTGCAAAGAGAGAGGAGAAGTACCAATTCAGCCTGTACTTCATCTACAGGGGGCAAACAGAGACAAAGTTGCAGAGTCCCATCTATGTATCAGTGAAACCTAATAGTATTAAAAGTCATTAGGTCGCAAAAATTCTAATTGGGGCAATAAAATGTTCATGGTCCTGCCCACGTGTACAAGTACTCCTCTTCCCTCCCTAGTCTACTCACTATGAGTACTCTCTTTTATTTCCCATTATCACTAAGTTTTAGACATATAATTGTGACACTAGCTAAATTTCCCCATAGAATCTCATTGAAACCAAACCCCAAAGGGGAAAAGGCTAACTCATATCCCAGCACAACTGAGAAAAGGCACAGGCGGATTCAAATTTTGTGGTTAGATTCTGAAGTGTTAGTACTTGTAGACCAGCAAGATCTGTTGCCACTTCTGGAGACATAAAACTTCAGCACATTTCTTTCCTTTGAAAAAAAAAAAAAGATAACTCTCCTACAAATATAGAGCAAAGCTGATTACACTAAACCCCCACTATAGAATGTCCTTATAACTAGATTCACAAGACATTGTTATTATAGGCTATGAGCAAAACCATAGGATATTTTAATTACAGTAAACTCTATGTTATAACGTTACTTGGCTTTCGCTAAAGATTTTTTAGGCACTCTGGGTCTTTTATATTTTGGGAAGAGTTGGCACATGCTTGTTTTTCTCACCAAATAAAACAACCCAAGAACAACAACAACAAAAGTTAAAGGTATTCACCTCCAATTTCATTCAACTACTAATTAACACATACAAATGATCTGGAATGAATTTTTCAAAATTATGCCTCTGACTATAAAGATAATACATGAAGAAAAAAAATAACATTTCCTCTGGAAAACATAGAAAACTATAAAGAAAACAATTGTTCCTTAAAAAAAAAAAATCCCCCAACACAAAGATAATGTCAACATTTTAGCTTATGTTTTTCCACTAAATTTACTTACATATATGTTTTTTAAAACAACTAAATTAATTGATAGTCCATTTTGTTTTCTTTTTTACATTACATTATAAGTAATTTTCCACGTAAAAAGCCTTTAGGAATATTTTAATGTATAAACCCATATATATTTAGATGAGCCATAATTTACTTCAGATATACCTTGACTGTGTATTAAAGCATACTGTAATTTTCACTATCCTGAATTATGTTGCAATAAACCCCATTATACTCGAATCTCTACAAGTACCATAGATTTTTCTTTAGACAGATTCCTTAACAAATTGAAGACAAAGAGTAAGAAGCTTTTAAGGCTCTTGATACATGTTCTGTGGGGAACTTTTAATTCTTGACCACATTTTAAAATTTTCTATTAATAAGTGACTGCTACTGATAGAAAATGTTAATTTTATGGGTAGGGGATGAAATTATAATGATAAACTTGCTGCAAAAACAGACATGGTGAGGATAATTATACATTCTAAAGTTAATTTCTGGGCTTCCCTGGAGGTCCAGTGGTTAAGAATTCACCTTGCAATGCAGGGGACAAGGGTTCAATCCCTGGTCCCAGAAGACCCCACATGCTTCAGGGCAAATAAGTGCATGCAACACAACTACTGAGTCTGCACTCTAGAGCCCACGAGCCACAGCTAGTGAGCCCATATCTTGCAACTACCAAAACCTGCACACCATGGAGCCCATGCTCTGCAATGAGAAGCCTGTGCACCGAAACTAGAGAGTAGGCCCCACTCACTGCAACTAGCAAAAGCCCATGGCAGCAACAAAAACCCAGCACACAGCCACAAATAAATAAATAATTTTTTAAAAAACCATCTGCATTAAAAAAAATTAGTTTATTTCTATGGCACAATGATGGCAAGGACTGCATTCATTGTGCATAACTGTTTCTTACGAACAGCACCCTTCTACTTTACCAGATTATCCCAGAATTTGTCTGTCAGCCTACATCTCCATGGTAGCCACTCTTTCTTAGCATCAGGCTTAGCTCCACCTATGTTGAGTGATCTCAAGCAAGACTGTCATCTACTCCTGAGCTTCTCTGCCCAGAGAAGATCCTACCCAGCATTGTGACATCACAAGAAACTGCCCTAGATGCTGGAAGAAGTCAATTTAATTCAATTTTCCTTCTCTCACAGGGATTTTAAGAACAAGTTGATGAAGGTCAAATAATACATGGATCGTTCAAGCCAATCCTTCAGACAGGATTAAAATTTAAGTTGGAGAGAAAAGACTGGATTCTCTGGATTCTACCATGATTAAGTACCCCACAGTCACTTGAAAGGTGTGAATTTGCTATTAGGGCTCACCTGAGCATGATTCCACCCAGACGAATAGCTCTCTTCCAGTCCTTCAGGGTGGATTTGCCAGCCAGATGAACAAAATGCTTGGGGCTGATCAACTGATCATTGAACTAATGTAAAAGGAAAAGTCCAAAATAATCCAATATTAATTTAGGCAAGCCATGAGGGAAAGAAAGACATAATTCTATTCATTACAAACAAAGAAATACCCAGATGACATCTCTAATCAGAGCCTGTATTCTCTATCTTCCCACCCTATTGTGCTAGAGGAGATGATCCTTCTCTGGCCCTGTCCTGGTATTAATATACTGATTAGGATATAAAATCCATTTGTGTCCTGAATCAAGCAGATGGTTTTGATGTTGCAAAGGCTATTAAAATAAACTGAAGTTATCTATCCAGCCCTGATGACAAGATTCAGGATCTGGTAGAAAGAAAAAGCATGGTAGAAACCAACAGCACTGCAGAGCCTCAAAATTCTGTAATCCTTAATGAGTCCAGGATGATGCTACTGATGGTGACTACTATCTATGGGTACAGCTGTGGCTACCAGCAGAGACAGAATAAGCAATTATTTCCACATTGTGCTCTCATAAAGATTATTTTTATCAGTAATAATTTTGAAGAAACTCTGCCAAACTACACACTAGTCTAAGGCATTTTACATATACTATTTCACCTTCCAACAATCTTACTGTGTGTGTATGTACGTACAATTATTTGTATTTTAACATATGAAGCTCTGAAATATTACTTGACCAAGGTCACCTAACTAGTGATAGACTTCATTAATTCAACAAAATATTTACTGATAAATATTCAGAGCACTAGTCTAGGTGCTAGGGATACAATGGTGAATAAGACAGACAAATTCTCAGCTCTCAAAAGACTTGTATTCTGGTGGGACTTGGACCCAGGTCAGTATCACTCCAAAGTCCTTTTTTTTTTTTCTTTTAAACTGTGACACAAAGGAACACCACAAAATTCAGAACACTGAAATGGTGGGGAAGAAGAGGTTCTAAAACCATACCCTTTGAAAATAAGGAGCCTCAAAATAGACCCCGGCAAGGAAAAAAGACAATTACCTTGACACACTTTACATTTATTCCTGGACATACAAACTTCTTCCAAAGGAGAATGGCTTTGCTCTCCCCACAAGTTATGGGGTAAGCAATTTCCATATCCTCATTTGCTTCTATAGTGCTTGCATCTTGCAAATGGAAAAAATATCAGTTATTTATCAAACACTCTTCTTTAAAGTTTAACTCAACATCTCTAGTCTCCTGGTTTCTCTGAGGGGCTAAGAGTTCACACTGATTTGTATTGTTTAGGAATCTTCTGGAAGAAATTTGGTGTAACAGCTCTCTTACCAAGATCCCACTATGTGCCAGACACTGTGCCTTGTGTTTTTACAGGTTCAATCTTTTTTAATTCTTAAAACAATCCTGTGAGGCAGTCATGGTTTCCTATGTACCTGTATAGGACTCAGAAAGGTGAAGGGATTTTCCCAAGGTCATACAGCTCAGTGAGAATGTGGGATTCAAACTCCAAGTTTAACTAATTTCAGAGTTCCTCTTCAGTTTCTTTCCACTGACTGCCTTCCAATCAGCACCTCATCAGCAACTTCGCTAATGACAGAGATCAACCTTGAGACTCCAATTACTTTGACCAATTTCTACTGATGAGAAATCTTTTCAGTAACCCTAGCAAACTAATGTTAAACATCAACTGATAGCCCTAGCATCTTAGCAGTGTCTCTCAATGTACTATCATCAAATTGATAGCTACAGCACTGGTAGAGCACATTGGGTAGTGAGGTGCGGCGGGGCGGGAGGGGGAAATCAGGTACAAAAAGCAAGAAATCTCAACCAAGGAGGCTAAGGTTAAAAGTACTAGAACAAGGCTTCCCTGGGGGTCCAGTGGTTACAACTTTGCGCTTCCACTGCAGAGGGCTTCCAATGCCTCCAAGTGAGGTTAAAAAAAAAAAAGGTACTAGAACAACAAAATGACTTACCAATCCCTTCTTCAATTTTGTGTATTGTGTGAGTTTCTACTGCCACAACTGCCGTATTGTTCTCAGAGCCAGCTTCATAAATCCTGTTGTAAAAGTGTCCACAATAAACGACATAAATCATGACAAAATTAATATTCACAGCACAGGATTAAGAAATTTGTTTTAATCTATCTCAAAAGGAATAAAATAATATACTTTACAACTTGATGTTAGTGTTCTGACTTAAGCCCCAGTGTATCTAAATTCCAGGCTGCCCAAGACTGCTTAGCAGCTACTGTCATGGAAATGAATCAGCAACTTTCCTCATCCCAGAGGAAAAGTTTCTCTTGCTACTCTATTTACACTGCTACTTATAAAATACCTGTATTTTACACCAGACTTATCCCTTCCTAACTTTAAAAGTTCATGACATAAAGTGTTGCTTCACTTGAAACATATTATAGAATTATCCAAACATGACTGAAAAGTAATACCTTTAGACAATTCAAACCAGGAAGAACTTACTGATTACAGAAGCTGATGTCCCTTGTTGGAATCTAGGCACTTTAGCCATTTTTACACTTAAGCATTTTTTAAGGCATAATAATCAAACTACAGACATGAGCAGAGCCTAGTTTTTTTTAAAAAGAGACAGAGCAATTATGCCCAAAGTAACTAGCAGTAATGAGAGGTACCACTTAAGGAAAACTCTCTCTCCAAAATGTTTCTGCCTCCTAAGAAATGGGCTCAGATAACCTGACATGAACACTGACATCCTTTGTTTAATTTCCACAATAAGCCTACCATGCTATTTACTGCACTAGCTATCCTAAAGCACTGCCTAACAATCTCCTCTGCATCAGTGATTTCCCTCCCCGACGGTGACACCTTTAGCACAGACCTCCCTTCTGAATTCCACAGCAGGACACAATTAAACTGCTAAATAAACAAATACATTTGAATATCCCATAGGACTTGATTGAATGAATTATGTCTAAAATAACCAAGTTCTCTTTCCTCTCCCACCTCCCAAGCTTCTCTTCTTCCTATATTTCCCATCCTTGTCAATGGCACTACTCAGCACACAGTAGCCTAAAACAGAAGCTTGGAAATTACACTAAATTTCTCCCTTTTCATCCTCCTCAACTCCCACACAGCCAGTCACCAAGTCCTGCCAGATACACCTCCTTAACACCAGCCACCCTCCCTGTCTATTTCCACTGCTACTGCCTTAACTCAGGCTGCAACATGTTTAGTCTGAACCGGTCTCCTCACATCAACCTGGTCTTCTATATTCCTTCCAGAATGGTCAGGTAACACCCTCCACAAAACCCTGCAAGAACCTCCTCCTTGCTGCTGAAATAAAGCCCCAAATACTTAATATGATATGTAAGTCCCTCCATGATCTGGTCCTCCGGTTTCAGTTCTCACCAAACCCCACCAGAAACCCAAGCCCCAATTGTACCAAACTGCCATCTTCTTTTATCCCTTCTGTTCTTGCTCTTCTTCCTCTTCCCAGAACATCTTTCCCCATCTTTTGTTTTTTAATCAGCAGCCTGTATGGTGCTTTTCCTTCCATCTCAGTCCTCCGGTATAATCACCCAATTCTCCTCTGTGACCCAACTGTACTTTAGGCTTTTGCCACAACAAATATAATACGTAATACTATTTACTTATTTACCTTTTTTTCTCTCCTTGGGCATAATCTAAGAGGTCCCTGAGAGGCCTAGTGGTTAGGATTCTGAGTTTCACTGCTGTGGCCTAGATTCAATCCCTAGCTGGAGAGCTAAGATCCCACTGTGCAGCACAGACAAAAAAAAAAAAACCACACCTCTACTTCAAGTAAATTTAGTAAGCTCATTCTAACTTGACCAGTATTTACAAAATCCTTTAAAATAATAGATTCTTGTCTATACATAATTCCAACAACCAGTAAATTGCACTTGGGAAGTTGGGGCATAGTCTATATTTTTACAGGCAAATAAGATTTTATCAGGGAAAATGTTTCTAAAGCAATTCATAACAGTGATGGATTTAGCTTAATTCTCTATACTTAATAAAACTATAGTCAAAAATCAGAAAATATGTTTAAAATGTTAAGGATTAAAAATAAATAAATAAAATAAAATGTTAAGGATTTATAAGATACCAATATGCCTTCTGAATCATCAAAGTAAGGCAAAATTAGGTTTACTAGAGCTTTCTTTAATAATCAACCCAAAACTTTATTATGATTGTTGCTGTTCCTTTATTAATTCACAAACATTCTTTGAGAACACATGATATACTAAATCCTTTTTTCCCAAGAACACAGAAGCTTACAGCCTAAATTGAAGTATAAAACATGCACACAGATTATTATGCTACAAATAATAAATGATAATTATGGATCAGTGAAGTACAAGTCAGTTACTATTAGCATTTACAATGACTGTGATGTTAACTTCACTAATAGTATAATGTGTGCATATAAATACATATAAATAGTATAATATATAGTACGTATGTATACACAGTACTCTTGTATACATGTACAAGAGTTTTAAAGTTAAGTCCACATTATTGTATTCTAATTCACTGAAAACTGAAAATCTATATACGAGGTTGTTTTTTTTTATCTTGAATGTTAAGGAAAGCTATTCTGATTTATTGAATGTGGGATTCTTTTACATAAACTAAGGGGTACCCTACTGATCTGAGTTTATACATATTCCTAACACTTTAAACCTCCTACTAGGGAGGGATATGAGCATAAGGAAAGTAAGGTCACTATTCCTCAAATCGAACTATTCCACTCAGCACACTGAGTAAATTTATGTAGTATTAAAATCACCAGTCCATGATCTCATTGTTAAAAACTCTTATGAATCCAAAATGAATTGGAAAGTCAAGAATGTAATGGAATCTTAGTACTTTCATTCCTCCTGAGAATTTCCAAAGTATGTTTAAAGGTTTTATTTGAAAAAGTTAATAACCATCTTTCTTGTTTTTAAAAAGAAAGCATACACTGAACAAGTCATCTTTGTTGGAAAAACTCCCAGAATAAAAAATCTTCTTAATATCTTAGTACTTGAGTACCTAGTATCTCTATTTTCTTAAAAAGTTGAATGTGGATATATTTTAACTTAGTATCATTATGAAAGTATCATCTTATACAATGTGTCAGGTTCTATGTATTCATATAAATAAACTGTTACCAAATACTCTACTTTTGCTTCATATGCATCCCTGAAAATGTGTATATGGTGAATATTTGGGAAAGTATAAAATGTCATATATGTAAAAAAAATTAAAATGATGGGCAAAAGGAATTACATATTGAAATCTAACAATACTTATATAAAATCTCTATTTCTTGTCTCTTGAATACCAGCCAGCCAGTTAGTTCAGTCGCTCAGTCGCATCCAACTCTTTGCGACTCCATGGACTGCAGCATACCAGGCTTCCCTGTCCATCACCAACTCCCAGAGCTTATTCAAACTCACATCCATCGAGTTGGTGATGCCATTCAACTATCTCATCCTCTGTTGCCCCCTTCTCCTCCTGCCTTCAATCTTTCCCAGCATCAGAGTCTTTCCAAATGAGTCAGTTCTTTGTATCAGGTGGCCAAATTGGAGTTTTAGCTTCAGCATACCAGGCTTCCCTGTCCATCACCAACTCCCAGAGCTTATTCAAACTCACATCCATCGAGTTGGTGATGCCATTCAACTATCTCATCCTCTGTTGCCCCCTTCTCCTCCTGCCTTCAATCTTTCCCAGCATCAGAGTCTTTCCAAATGAGTCAGTTCTTTGTATCAGGTGGCCAAATTGGAGTTTTAGCTTCAGCATCAGTCCTTCCAATGAATATTCTGGATTCACTTCCTTTAGGATGGACTGGTTGGATCTCCTTGCAGTCCAAGGGACTCTTCAAGAGTCTTCTCCAACACTACAGTTCAAAAGCATCAATTCTTCGGTGCTCAGCTTTCTTTATAGTCCAACTCTCACATCTTTTGAATATAATCTTTACCAATTTATTCCTAACAATTTATGCATACCCTTTGATTGTTTATTTCCTTCACACTTGAATTATAGCCCATCAGGTGAAGTGTGATGAGGCTGAACACTGACACCTGATAATTTTCATCTTTGTCTCAAGTGTATTAAAATTATGAGACCTATATATCTCATCACTAGAATCACTGTTTTTGTACCCTGCTCATTTTTACAAAATGAGGCTAAAATGCAATAAAATATTAAAATAATTTAATAATACAACTGACAAACACCTCAAAATGCAATAGCTAAAAAAAAAAAAAAGGCAATACCTCAAAATGTTTATTCACTAGCTCATGCATTAAAATTCACTGTAGACAGTGGATTGGGAAGTCAATATATGTTGGACAAAGGTGCCTCTACCTAATCAAGCAATGCCAAGTATCCACAAAAGACAGTATCATTTGGAAAATAAAAGAGACAAACAGAAAATTAAGTGGAACCAAATCTTCAAAAGAATTAAGTCTCGAAGTAGCAGAGAATTTTTTTCTGTCTCCACTGTGGATAGGACAAATGACAACTGGAGTGCTTTAGGAAAGACAGAAGAGCCTGCCCCCTAATCCTTCCTGATGTTACCATACCTCAAAATGTAATGACTACAAGTATGTGTGTGTGTGTCAAAATAAAATCCCCAAATGAGTTTGAATAAGCATGCATAATCTGTTGGTGCCAACAAAAATTTAAGCCACTCTCTAGACTATATGTTAGACATTATTTATATCAACTTTCCTTAATAGACCTTAGAATATCTCCTTTATGCTTAATAATATTTAGAAATGTCAGATTTCCCTCATGGCCTAGTGGTTAAGAATCTACCTGCCAATGCAGGGGACATGGGTTTGATCCATAGTCCAGGAGGATTCCACATGCCATGGGGCAACTGAGCCCATGTGCTGCAACTACTGAAGCCCAAGAACCTAGAGCCCAGCCAGAGAAGACACTGCAGTGAGAAGCCCATACACCACAACTAGAGAGTAGCCTCTGATCACCACAACTAGAGAAAGTCCACGCACAGCTAAAAAGACCCAGCACAGTCCATAAATAAAAATTATTAAAAAAGAAAGAAATGTCAGAAGACTATGGTTATGTTTTTAAAACTAATAAGAAAGTGTCCTTATCTTTTACAGATACATACAAATCTCTGGGATTTGCTTCAAAAAAAATTCAGGAGTGGGCAGATGTAGAGATGAAATCAGACTGCCATGTGTTGACAATCACTAAAGCTGGGTGATGGATGCTTACATGGGAGTTCATTATCATATTTTCTTTATTTGGAGGTATATTTGAAATTTCCTGCAATAAAAAGCTTTTTAAATTACCAAGACAGGTTAATAGTTTAACAGTTTTTCCCTAGAAGTTTTTAAGGCAAGGTACACGACTTAGTAGACTGGGATTAGATTACTGTCCTTCCTTAGTATTGTGGGGAGATTAGTTCCAGAAAACCCCTGAATATACCAAAATCCACAGATATGCAAGTCTCTTATAAAATGGCATAGTATTTGCATATAATCTACACACATCCTCCCATATACTTAAATCAGCTACTGCATAAATCAGATGATTAAAAATTAATGAATGATTAAAATTAATTAATGATTAAAAAAACTGTTAGCCTATTAGCCTATCTTGGTAATTTAAAAGGCTTTTTATTATAGGAAATTTCAAAAATACCTCCAAATAAAGAAAATATGATGATGAACCACCATGTAAGCATCCATCACCCAGCTTCAACAATTATCAACACATGGCCAGTCTGATTTCATCTCTACATCTGCCCACTCCTGAATTTTTTTTGAAGCAAATCCCAGACATTTGTATGTATCTGTAAAAGATAAGGACTCTTTCTTATTTGTTTTAAAACTATAACCACAGTTTTCTGACATTTCTTTCTTTTTTAATAATTTTTACTTATTACTATGCTGGGTCTTTTTTGCTGTGCGTGGACTTTCTCTAGTTGTGATCAGAGGCTACTCTCTAGTTGTGATGCCTGGGCTTCTCACTGCGGTGTCTTCCAAACTGTGAAAGGAGTACGTCAAGGCTTATTTAACTTATATGCAGAGTACGTCATGTGAAATGCCAGGCTGGATAAAGCACAAGCTGGAATCAAGACTGCAGGGAGAAATATCAATAACTTCAGATACGCAGATGACACTACCCTTATGAAAGAAAGCAAAAAAGAGGTAAAGAGATTCTTTTTTGAAAGTGAAAGAGGAGAGTGAAAAAGTTGGCTTAAAATTCAACATTCAGAAAAACTAAGATCATGTCATCCGGTCCTATCACTTCATTTCAAATAGATGAGAAAACAATGGAAAGTGACAGACTATTTTCCTGGGCTCCAAAATCACTGCAGATGGTGACTGTAGCCATGAAATTAAAAGACGCTTACTCCTTGGAAGAAAAGCTATGACCAACCTAGACAGCATATTAAAAAGCAGAGACATTACTTTGCCAACAAAGGCCCGTCTAGTCAAAGCTATGGTTTTTACAGTAGTTATATATGGATGTGAGAGTTGGACTATAAAGAAAGCTGAATGTCAAACAATTGATGTTTTTGAACTGTAGTGTTGGAGAAGACTCTTGGAAGTCCCTTGGATGCAAGGAGATCCAACCAGTCCATCCTAAAGGAAGTCAGTTCTGAATATTCACTAGAACTGATGTTGAAGCTGAAACTTCAACACCTGAAACTATGGCCACCTGATGCGAAGAACTGACTCACTGGAAAAGACCCTGATGCTGGGAAAGATTGAAGGCAGGAGGAGAAGGGGACGACAGAGGATGAGATGGTTGGATGGCATCACCAACTCAAGAGACATGAGTTTGAGCAAGCTCTGGGAGTTGGTGATGGACAGGGAAACCTGGCATGCTACAGTCCATGGGGTTGCAAAGATTTGGACACGACTGAGTGACTGAACTGAACTGAAGATTACTTGTAATATCTAATATAATATAAATGCTTGTAAATAGTTTCCTGTGTGTGGCAAATTCAATTTTGCTTTTTGGAACTTTCTGGAATTTTTTTTCCATCCAAGGTTGGTTGAATCTGAGGATGTGGAACCTACAGATACAGAGGGCCAATTGTGTGTTTGTCTAGTGAAATTTGCTCAGTTGTATCCGACTCTTTGCCACCCCATGGACTGTAGCTTACCAGGCTCCTCATCCATGGAAATCTCCAGGCAAAAATACTGGAGTGGGTAGACGTTCCTTTCTCTCAGGGATCTTTCCAACCCAGGGATAGAACCCAGGTCTCCCACATTGCAGGTGAATTCTTTACCATCTGAGCCACTAGGGAAGCCCATAGAACACTTCTGATCCTTAATAAATAGCTAGCCCCCTCTTCTCTCTGGAGATCTAATTCCTGTTTAACTTTTAAGACCACTTAAGAATCTTATTTCTTCTCTCAAATTTATAGTGATTTTCTAAATCACTTCTCTGAATGCAAAAACACATCCTAACCATGCCACTTGGCACTTCTTAGATTCTGCCAAGTAAGTGATTAGTCTATAAACATGTATTTTTGCTTTGCACAACTAGATTGCAAGTTTCATGATGGTGGGAACCATGTGCTATATTTCTTCCAACACCTTTGTGATATGTTGTATAATGGTAGGTGACTGATATACATATTTTTGATAGACTAAGCTTGATAATTTGCCCATCCATGAGGGCCCAGAGAACTTCTGGTAGGAATACTTTTATAGCTGCCTTGCCTATTCTCCTCTGACTGTAACTATCTCATCTTTGGGCAAAAGTACCACATGTACCAAGGCACTGTGCTAAACAGTGTGGATAAATATGATGAGGGAACCATGTAGTTTATCCTCAAGGAACTCAAGAGTAGGGGGTGAGAGACGAGCAAACAGTCAGTTGTTGTAATAAGTACTGAATGACAAATATAGCACACAGTACATTATAGAGAAGAAAACTTAGCTCTGAGAATTGATGTTGAATGTTCCATTGTGCTAAGTCACCTTAAAGTTATAATATCTCCACTCTTTAAACTCCCCCAAATTTTCAGAATATTCCAATCTTTAGTCACTTACCCTTGTTGCACAGGCTGTAACTGCAAGATCACTTGGGTTTTAGTGTCTTCAGGGTTCTCCCCTTCATTTCCTTCAGTGGGTACCACAACCACATCCCCCACTGGGACACTCACTTCTGCATTAGCCATCTTTCACATGAAGTCAGATAGCTGGGAATGCTGTCAGAAATAAGAAGCACCAGTAATTTTGTCTGATTTGAAAAGATGACAACCATAGAAAAGGAACAGCAATATAATAACTCTTAATTCCAAGGGCATCCTGGAGATCATGGTCTCCTGAAAAAGATGGGAATTGTGAGAAGGGGCAGACATAGGCTCTGATCTTTCCACAGAAATGCCTTCGGACTCACTAGTTACTTAAGATTTTCTTAGTACGTGTGATTCACCCAGTGGTATGCTGCAGGCAGCTCTACCAGCTCCTGAGAACCAACTGTGCACATGCATGTGTGCTCAGTCGTTCAGTCCTGTCCAGCTCTTTGCGACCCCATGGACTGTAGCCCGCCAGGCTCCTCTGTCCATGGAATTTTCCAGGCAAGAATACTGGAGTGGGTTGCCATTTCCTACTCCAGAGAATTCTCCTAACCCAGAGATTGAACCCGCATTTCTTGCATCTTCCGCACTGCAGGTGGATTCTTTACCACTGAGTCATAGGGGAAGCCAACTGTGTACATCTCTTTCCAACTCCCAGTTTAGCAACATCAAGTTGGTAGCTTGAAATCAGTGATTCTGGGAGTATATGCACCAAAGAAATTGGCAAGCATTACAAATCAGGGTATTTTTTATTCTAGAGAGCTGGTATACAACACATCACTAGATCCATCCCAAACAGTAAGTGCTTAGAAAGTAAGAATCATCTATTTTCTTTGCAACCAGCCATTACACTTCATCAAGCATTCTGAAACTAAGTTGCATGGAAAAAGAAAGATGATTTGCATTGTATGGCTGTTTAATAAATGCTGTGTCCAACTGTATGACTTCCAGGAACATCTTAATACCTCTTTGCCTTAAACTGAATGGAGATAGGCTCTTGCCTGACACTTCACTTGCAGAGCTGTTGGGGAAACTACCGTCCAGTACCAAAAGATCTTTGACTCTAAATTAACTCAAAGCATTATCTCAATCTTAATGAAAACTCAGAGGGTCCTAAGTTATTAAGCTGTTAGTCTTCACAGCTGAAAAGAAAGGAGAGGGTCATATAAGAAAATATAGATAAGAGTACTCTGTTGACTGAGATATGTGAGTGCTTGAAGATGGACTGCAATGAACCGTGCCTAGACACACAATGGATATATATTTGGTACTCAAGATGACCAAATCCACATTTCAGCTCTGCCACAGCAATTGTCTGCCTATAATACACATATTTAACACAGCACTCAAAGTCTCCTTCATTTGGCCCCCCAAATTTCCCAGTTTCACCTGCAACTATAATACCCCAAGAATTTTAAAATCCAGCCACATCAATCCCTCACTGAATTCTGGACATGTAACATGTATAGGTTTCCGTACCTTTGTTATTCTTAAGCCCAAAACTCCTTTCTCCCTCATCTCCTTCTCCCTTCAAGGCCCAGTTCAAAGCTCACTCCTCCACAAAGCCACTACCTCCCCATTTTCTCTCCTGTAGGCCCCAATACTTGCTTGCCACTCTCCTCTAGTGTTTAATCACAGTGGGCCTTGTACTGAGCGTAACTAAACACCCATCTACCTCCATGACCACACTGTGAAGAAAGGCATTGCTTATCTAAAAATCTTGTCTCCTACAGCCTTGTTCATTGCAGGCACTGACATAGAGCAGTTCAATCAACTTTTGTTTGTGTTTGACCAATTCCTCACATATGACTTAGACCTGCCCTTTATGATTCTCACATTCAAACTTTTTCCTGGATTCAACACCTCCTATATCCAAAAACCTCTTAAAATATCTTAGGCATCTTAAACTAAAAGCATGTTCCCTCTCAAACCTGCTCTTATGTTTCCTGCCTCAATAAATGGCGCTACCCTCCACCCATTTTCTCAAGTCAGAAACGAAGGAGCTATTTTTGACTCTTCTTTCTTCTCTTTCTAAATTCAACCAACCACCAAATAAATCCTAGCCATTCTATCACCTATATATCTCTTTTAACCATCCTCCACTCTCCATCTGTGCTGCCATCATCATATGCTGAACCACCACACTGTTACCTGGATTTTTCCAGCTGCCTCTCATCAGTATCCTAGCCTCTGATCTGGATCTCCAACTCATTATTAGATAAGAGACAAAATGATCTGACTAAAGGCCATTTCCCCCACTTAAAAAATCCTTCAGGGCATTCCCTTTGCTGCTATTATGGTGCAAACACCCTGACTTACAAAACCCACCAAATCTGCCCCCTGCCCACCCTGCTGGCCTCATTTCCCACAGTTCTTCTCACACAGTGGGCTCCTGCCATTGCATTTTTTCCAAATTCTCAAACATGCCATATTTCCTCACCTGATCCTTCACACTTATTTGCTCTACCTGGAATTCTTTTTTCTGTCCTTTTTGGCAAGTCACTGCTATACTTTTGTGACATTTAAAACATCACTTCCTCAGAGAGGCCCTCTGTGACTTCCTTGACTAGATTTGAGGGGGGTCTTCTTGCCTCCTGAAGCATCCCTCTCACAACCATCAGCCCACTCTGTCAGTCTCTCCTTACCAGACTGCATCCGGGGAGAGAAAAGCTAGCTTTACTTTTTTAACAGGCTTCCCTATGCTAGCTCAGTGCCCAGGGCCACAAGTGCAATAATTTTCAAATAGCAGACTTCTATTTACAAAACTGCCTACCTAAAACTTTCTAAGGAAATCTGGTACACAGCAGGTATGTAATAAATTTTCATGCAATCAGTGACACACTTTACCCTAAAAGACTTCTAGAACTTTCTACTGCTTTAATTTAGGGGATATAAATTTGCTTAGAAAGCTTGAACTTCCCATGACAGGGAGAAATCACAACGGATACAGTTAGGTTCCTTAGATATGAAAAGGGATGGTATCTGTTCTTAAGGAACTACAGAAGGGAAAGAGATATGTGACACTGTCATATAGTAGAGGAAAAAAGTAATTGCAAGATACTAGAATATACGATCTGAACTTCTATAAATTAAAAGTTTAAAACTGGAGGTGGGGGGAGGGGTGGCGGATGGGAAATCAATGGACCAGTTTGGCTGGCTGCCAGAAACAGAACCTAAATGATTAGAACCTTTGAGTCTAGAAAATGCCAAAAGGGATATGATGAAGTATAAAATGCCATCAAATCCTAGAATAATTGAACCGATTGATATCTTTAAAGTTTGAACCATAAAAATGTAGGATGAATTGAAATAATCACAGCTAACATTTGTCAGACACTTATTTGTTGTCAAGCACTATCCTGCTACATATTCAATGAATTTAAAAGATAAAATACTTTAGCATATAACAATCGTCAGTAATTTATTATTTCAAAAAAGTGGTTTAAATGTTAAATTAACAGCATAGGTAAATTAATGGGTTAGAAAAGCAAAATTAGAAGGATGCTTCTAGTTCAACCTTCTACCCTAAGGTTGAGTCCTCTCTCTCTACAATATTCTGAATAAATCGTTGACTAACTTCTTGATTAATACTTTCCTCAATAAGAACTCATATTTTACTTCTTACCCCTCCCACACCTTGGAACTCAAAAGCAATATTATGGCTGCTTCTCTAACCTTCTGAGAGTTTACCAGAAAAGATAATTATAATCATCCACAATAAGTCTCTCATTGTCAGTCAGAGACACAGGTCTGATCCCACATGGCAATTGTTACATTCCTCAGAGAAGCAAGTTTGGGTTGAATATCTCTTACTCCCCTAAATACCATATTCCGAGCAAGAAACCCTAACCAGCTCTACAGACTACACTGGCTAATTGGAAGGTCATTTCTTTGAGCTGAGTGTAAATTGAAAAGTGGTTCTTGTTTATAGCAACAAAAACTAAGGGAAGATGAGTAAGTTGCTCCTTTGGGTATTTCATGGAGACGGGACCTTGGAGTATTCATTGTGGAATCGCACAACACTCTGTAATTCTAGAACACACATAAGGGAAATATGTCAAACTTCTGTGAAAAGGAAGAATTATTTGTAGCTATTTTTAAAGACAAGACACCTTGAAAGTAACTACATGACTACTCATGTAACCTATCAAAAAATTAAATCAGTGATACCTGACCTACTCTGGATTAAATTCATTTTTGTGTTCTGAAAAGTTTGAAGAACAAGCCAAGATGGAAGCACAAGTGTCACATGATCATAGGAACATGACAGTTGGTAGCTGAGAGGGAGTCATAGAAATACCATATATCCTGAAATTTTCTAACTCCAAAATGTATTTGTTTCATACTTTAATTTTTGTAGACTATGTAGCCTATTCTAAGAAATTTCCAACTTAAAAACTTTATATTACATGAGGTCAAAACTCCTTGATTTTTTTCCTTCTTTATTCTGTTTCATGTATTTACTAGGTGATCCAGGGCACTACCAGATGTAATGAAGCCAACAGGTCATTCACTACACAGGACCACTGAGGTAAAAAGTCATAGCAAATGAAGTTTCGGATGAATCACTTAATAGTGACCACTCTGTAGGTGTTTGGAGAAGCAATTGCAAAACGGATTTTTTGAAGGGTCAACCTACTACAGTTGAGGAGATTTCTTCTTAGGACGAGAACAAAACACAGCCCAAACTAACCCCATGAAGCTGAGTACAAGTTGGCTATTCAATATGTTTGCTGTAAATACGAGTAAGCAACTAACAGGTAACTAAAGAAAAAAGTTAAGTCAGTAGACAATAAATACACATAATTGGTAAAAGGCTGACAAATTAGGTCAGTCCAACAATTTAATGAAAAAGTCCCCCAAACGTTCCATAAGCAAAGAGAGAGAAAAGAATCCTGTGAGACTAAAATTAGCTGATCCTCTCTTTCCTTAATCCTCCAGGTTAAGAAGGAAAATGACACTTCTTGGTTCTCCTAAATATACACGAGTTAAGGCCCCTGTTTGTGTCTGTTAGGAAGTGTTTGTGAATTTCTCTCATCTTGCGAGAATGCCTCCTCCGGCTCTTTACACAGCCAAGGCTTCCCATGATCAAGACTTGA